TTAAGTCCTCAGCACATTCTGAATTGTGTAAAATATGTACCCCGGCAATTTTAATTGGTTCATTTGGCCATTATATACCAAATGGATTATCTTTCAAAATTGTTCTGATGTGCTATAAAAACTATTTAAGTGGTTAAAAAAGTGCACCACTAAATGTTCCTTGTCCAAAGAACATGTTAAATCGTCAGTGACAGACACATTTAACTTTTTTCATCTTAAAACCACTTATACGGGTATCAGACCTGATAGCAATTAACAATATTTCTAGGGCTAATATGAATAGTGCTGGTGATAGCACTGGGTCACCCTGTCGGTACTTTTCCCACTTTGAAATAACCCGTAGTATAACCATGGTTAATGACTGAACATTTATTATCAGTGTAATATGTTTTAACCCAATTTATCAACGTGGGACCAAAATTGTATGCTTTTAGACAGTTTATTAAATAGTCTAGAGCATCAAAGGCCTTTGAAAATCAATCGCTATCATTGCCACCGGCAATCCATTTTCATCACTACAGAGTAGAATTTCCTCAATTAATCGTATACAATCGAAAATATCTCTTCCTTGAACACAGACAGACTGAGTACAATGAATAACATTGGGCAAAACTTTCCCCAGTCCTTTGGAGATGAAACGTGAACCGATTTTACATCTACATTTATAAGCGAATTTGGACGCCAGTTTTTAATGTACTACTCATCTTTCTTCATTTTTCAGTAAGGGTAATGATGCTTTCATGTTAGGAAGTAGAAAGTTGCTCTTGTTTATATGCATAATTTAACAAATCGACAACAAAATTGCTAACAAGAGGCCTGAAAGCAACAAAGAATTCTACTGGAAGGCCATCGTTACCGAGAGTCTTGCTCATACACATAGGACATAGGGTTTTATAAGCTTCATTCATAGTTATAGCGCCCTCATATAATAATAATAATAACTTTATTTAGTATGGTAAAAATAATAAATAACAAAAGACTAAAATGATAAAACTAACTAAATAAAAGTAAAACATTAATAGGACAAAATAAAAAAAAAATAAAGTATAAAATACTAAAATTGACATTGCATAGAAAAGACATTGGTTCTCTCATGGATGCGTATTTTCATAATTAAGTATTTCCATTGAATAAAGTATTATTCAAAAATTTGGGAAGGGCAAGATCTTGTTTCATTATTTTAAGAAAAACATCTCCATTTTGCTGGCCTGCGATTTTATTAGTGATATTACACTCTAGAAATAAAGATTGTCTTTCAATTCTAAAACATGTACATTCCAGAATGAAATGCATCTCATTCTCTATCACATCATTATTAGATTTCTTACATTTTCTATCCTCAAGTTGGATTTTTGGATTTTTTCGGCGACCTAATTCTATTTCTAGAGTATGATCACTTAGTCGAAATCTTGATAACATTTTCCGTAGATTGAAATCAATGATGTTGTCTAAATAATCTTCAAATACAAAATCTTTTTTGAATAGCTTGTAAGTTCTTAGCTTATTTCCCTCCCCATTTTTACCGCTTGATTTATTTAGTTGATCTTTCCAGAATGAAGAATATTTAATGTATAGTTTTGATTTTATTGATTCTGATAATTGTTTTATGTTATTTATTTTAGGATTGTCAGACTTTATATCTTCCAGTTCACACTGCTCTGAAATGTTTTCAACATTTTTTATCCAAGAAGTATTTATTTTTCATTGATTCAATTAATCCTGATTTAAGGATGTGGTTATTTGGCAGCGTGTGAAGTCTATACCAATATTTCATTTGTAAAATACAACTTTTAATTCCTATTGGTATTCTGCCTAATTCCCCCCTAATACCTATAGTTGGGGTTACTTTATTTACTCCAAGTATGAACCGGTAAAACTGACTGCATACTTGTTCAAGACTATTAACATCGTTTGAAATTTCACATGCCCAAACCTCAGCTCCATACAACAGAATTGGTGAAATGAATTAATCAAATAACCTTGTTTTACTCCACAGTTAGAAATAAAATTATCAGTTAAACCTGTTGGTAACTTCACTTTGTATTTCATCGCTTTTATGATGTTGTAAACATTTCCTGTAATATTTAAGTTTTAAGTCTGACCCAGTGAATTATTTGATTCCAAATACAAAACTAATCTTTCATTCAGAATACTGGTGAACAATTTGGATAAGCAGCTGGATATTGCAATTGCTCTGTAATTTCCAGGATCTGACTTATCCCCAGATTTATGTAAATGAACTAAGGAAGTTGACTTCCAGCATTCGGGAAATGTACCACTAACTAAAATATTATTGAATAATTTGCACAGACTTTGAATAAGTGATTTGTTTCTTATTTTTAGCATTTCATTTGCAACGGCATCATCACCACGGGATTTTTTATTTTGTTATTGAATCTAAAATGTCTTTCTCTGAAATATCTAAATTCAGAACAGGGTTGTTCTGTGTTGATTTTTCTTTGGTCCACAGTTTTACTTTAGTTTCATAGTTACTAACATTTTCTAAATTGTACAATTTTTTTAAAATGACTTAGCTAAGTAGAACTTGAAATAGACTGTTCCAAGTTATTGTTTTTTGACAACGTAGTATTGACCAGTACTGTTTCTGATTGTTCTTTTCTGATATTTCCAATTGATTAATCATCTGACGTTTGAATTCTTTTTTCTTAGTTATTGAACGTTTATAAATCTTTTTAATAAAATAAAAGTTATGCTTCATAAAGGGGTTCTTTGGTTCTTTGGAAAGCAGTTTTGAAGCTTTAATAAGTTCTTTTCTTAATTCACTACAAGATTTGTCAAAACAAAGTTGTCTAATTTTGTGGTTCTTTATCCCTTTTTTATTAGCGTTTTTTTTAAACAAGTGTCAGCTGTATTCATTAATATCTTTGTTAACTAATTTGTAAATTCATTCATATCTACTTTTTCTGTATTATTTTTAAGTAGTCTGGAAATTGTTTTTCTATTTGCTGGCTACATAACATGCCAGTAAATTTATTTTTTGACTCCTGATCCTAAATATATTTAGGGGCAAAGGTTGTAGTTGTTCTGTACTACTAATTTTAGTTTCCACACGGACAGATGATGTTAAGGCAATGGTCAGAAAGGTAACTCAGATTACCAACTTGAAAGTGACAGACACAATGAAAGAGACTCTTAGAAACTGTAGTCTACAGTGCTGGGTGATGATATGTAATAAATGGCCAATTACTCTGCCATTAACAATTATCAAGTCATTGTTTACACAAAGATCTACAAGATGGTTACCAAATTTGTTAGTGTTTTTATCTGTATCTTTTAAGTGTATCTTCTATTAAAATTATCTGCAATGTAGTTTTGGGGGGTTGGCACATGACTATTGGAATCACCAACTATAAAATGAATAATATTCCTAATTCTACTATTAAAATCTCCCATGATGATCACGTCACCCTGACGTGAGAACCTAGCAATTTCTTTTTCCAAAATACAGAAATAATCTTTGTTACAGTGGTAAACAGAATTTTCTTGTGGAATGTAAATACAAGCTAAAAAAATATCTTGTTCTAAGGAAAAGAAGTTCTTGTCTAGCTTGCACCATAGAAAGTAATTATTTTCAGAATTAATTTTCGACAGCCCCTTTTTAAATTTACTTTTAAACAAAATTGCAACCCCCCCCCCCCCCATGAATCTCTTCTACTTTTGGGTGATTTTCTAATTCTATCAGATCTAAAAGTACAAAAATTATCTATATCTAACACAAAATTAATACTATTACCTAACCAGGTTTCCTGAACACACAAAATATCAAAACTTTCAACTGCTGATACAAAATCAGCATCCATGCATTTTTTCCCTAAGTCGTGGATGTTCCAACTACCAATTTTAAGTTTTGATTGAATTATTTCTAAACTGTATGTTAATGCGGATACAACAGGTTATAGCAAATAAGTATACATGTATAAACTTCTTCAGTAGTACATTCCATGTTCTTGATTACGAAAGTCATAATAGTAATCCTGACGTCTACTTCCACTTCTGGATTCTTTAGGAGAGCGAATCTCATTGTAGCGTGGACTAGTATAATCATATGCATAGTTACCGGTATAGTGACTTGAATAATTATCACTGTGGTAATCACGCTGAGAATGAGGATATGATTGTGATTGGTACTCGTAGTCACGACGAACATGAGAGTCTGGTTCACAAGAGTTAGTATTATAATAGTTATATTCAGGCTGGTGGGTATAATCATTTGAATTATAACGTTGCCTGTATTTGTGATCATGAGGTTTATATGCATATTCCTGAGGTTGCACATACCGAGAGGTGCGAGATTTATACTTCTGGTAATAATCAAGATTGTCTTTCTTTTCATACTGCTTGATTCTTACATTGGATGAGTAGCGGTAATCTGATTTGTACTGCATACGTAGAGAATGTTTAATATCTCCGACTAGTACACTGGTGCCATGAGTGGTAATGTGGATACCAACTTCTGTAAATAAATCTTTGTTGTATCCTAGTCTCTTATGTTCAATATATAAGCATGTCTTTGATGAATTACATTTATTTCTTAGCCAGTCATTTAGTTCAGCTATGTCATAATTCACATTTTCCTCCTTTTGCAATAATATACTGGACATCACTATCCATTTGTTGTTTCAATAGATTAACACCATTCTTGATGTCATTTGCGCCAACATGCAATATTATCAAAGAAATCTGGGAGTGTCTTTTTACATTACTAATGTAGGACTCAGCTTCGCCAATTGTGGATGCCCTGATTTTCTTTGTTTTTCTTCCTCTATATAGCATTGCAGGGTTTATATGTTTTGTAATTGAATCACCAATAAGTAAAACATTACATCCAGACAGGTCATGATTGATACTTTCAAAAGCACTTGTGTGTTTGACTTTATTAATAGAGTCTATTTCGTCATAGCTGTCTTTTGTTGAGATGGTGTCCTTAGCAGTAGCACCTTTATCTTCAATCTCGGCATATTTTTGTTTTACGTGGTAATTCACTTGAAGGCACTGGAATCTATAGATAACTCAATGCTAGGATTATTTACATTGGAAATTAGACTGTTTTCCAAATTCTGAAAATCAGGCTTCCATTCTCTAGCCAAGGCGTCTTGTCTATTCTTCGTCTCTATCACTATCACAGTTTGGACATTGAGTAAGTTGTTTTGCCACTTTTCACTAAGAGATTTTAACATTTGCTTTACCTCGTTGATTTCTAATAATAAGGCACAGTTTTGATCTTTTTGTGACTTAGTTTCCAACTCAAATTTCCTTTCCTTTTCTTTCGCCTCGTTAAAAAACTTGTCAAATTCTGTCGCCTGTGTAGCTAAGTTATCTTCTAAAGAACAACATTTATTCTCTAGTGTCAAATACTTATCTTCTATCGACTCGAACATAAGTTCGAAATCGGTCTTTTCAATCGATTTGCGGTGTGAAAGTGGTGTACTCATTGCCTGGTTCACTGTTCGTGGTTTTTCAAGATGGTGGCCGTTGGCGTCATCGGACAACTTCGATGCGATAAGGCATTTCACATTTCTAATTCTGTTGTCATTATCAGAGAATTCATCAGATCTGTTGTTGTTGCTACTGTTAAATGTACTATTATCAGACAAACATGTAGACCCAGTAAGTGGAATACTCGCCTCTTGATCGCTGTAATCGTCGCTTTCATTGTCCGATGTACAATGTGTATTCTTCCGTAAAATGCTTTCATTGTTGTTATACAATAAAACATGTTGTTCAGCCTCCTCGTAAGTGTCAACTCCTTTAAAACAATTTCCAGGATATCCATTCGTTGCTTGGTGACACTCTTTCCAAGTAGATACAATACCAGTTTTTCTACCAACGATAATGGCATAGAACTTTTTTCCTTAGTTCTTCTTCGTACGTTTTGAGTCCGCCATTTCTATATCTTCGCATAGACGCTCCAAGTCCGAGTCATAAATAAAGCTGTTTTGCTTCTTCTTCTGACGCACTGATCTCCTAACCATTGTTAACAGCTATTCCAATAATATTCACTGTCCGAAATTTTATATTTTAACACTGTAATATGGCCTACAACCGCTGTATACCGCTGAACTAGTGGAGCTCACAGAAAAGCGTGTTGACAAACCGCCATGTCTTTTAATGCAATATACCACAGGCAAAAAATATTATTGGTAAAAAAATTATTAGAATTGCTTTTAGTTGCCAGATTTGATTGATAAAGATTTATAGAAAATAATTTTAATCGACCAATCCGAACCAATGACACTCTGAAGGTGGGATCTACGATGGTTACTTTTTCCAAACCCAAAAAATACTTTGTAGTTTTTTCCCCTTTCTCGACCCTTAGGATCGAACCTGTGTGATAAATTTGTTTTTGCGTATCTGTTGTCCGACTTAATTAGCTGATTACTAGCGAATGGCTGTGTTATGTCTGTCATCGTTTCGACCCATTTGAAGTCCTGGACGGAACTTGGCTCAGTGGTTTGGAACTAATTACGAGATAACCGTCGCTATTCGGACCGCTATTTCTGACAGTTTGGTATTCGTAGTTATTAATGTAGTGAATGATTAATCAAAATATATGACGTGTTCAGTGCTTAGTGTGATTGGCTGTATGATTGAAGGTTACGCCTTAGAGTCTTTTAACTGCTTTGTAATTGCTTAAGTTTTTGATAAGTAATAAACAGTCTAAGTCCTTGGTCTCAGTGGGAGTGAGAGAGAACTCCACGAGAGACGTAGTCTTGGGGACTTTTCCCCAGGACGCTGTGTCTTATAGAGTGCTCGACTGACCGACTAAAGACTAGCTATTGAACCGTATTTCGTTGTGTGCGTCTATTTGACTGTAAAGCTTAAGTGACTTTCCCAATCCGGTACCTCAAGGGAACGAGATATAGAGACGAGACGAGTTTCCCCCCTGGCAAGGGTGGAGAAACCCCAGAGGAGATATTTCCCCCGTGATACCTGTGTAATGTGTTCATAATGCTCATCCAGATCAGATCTAGCCTTTTGCAAAAGTTCAAGGTTTGGGTCCGTTGGGACATCTAAATCCAAAATATCTTTTTCAATTTTTTTTATTTATGCCCATTTAACTTTAATAACAAACGACATTAAAATCCCACAGAGCAGGAGTTGGAAATATTCAATATTAGGTTTCAGCAATTGTCGTTAAATGTAAATAAAGTTACATCGTTCCTTGAAAAGGAAAAGAAAGCTAGTCTACAATTATTGTGAGCCTAATTTAGCTTTAACCTATTTTCGGATTGGTTAATACAATATTTTTGTAAAATTAATAAGTAAAACCCAAAGTTACAAGTTCAACGAAATATTTTGTGTAGCCAAACATGAATTAGAAAAGTCACACGAGTAATTGTCATGGCTGACAAAAAGGGATAAAGTTTGCTGGGTCACAAATTTTGGTTGTTTTGTTTTGCTAGTTTATAAAATCACTCCGATCATATGACAGTACCTCATAATAGTAGATCTCGAAAAACAACAAAACAATGCAATCCACTGCCTTGTATTGCCAAAAGGATATTCTGTGTAGCCAAATATCGTCAATACATAATTTTCAAAGTGGAAGTAGCCTAAAAATTAAGTTTTACATCAATGAATGGATTCCCTTGTACATGTTTAATGGCTATTTGAATTTTGGTTTTTTATTTTCACTATATGTTTACAACATTACAGGGCTTAAATCTTACTCTACCGTATTTTTTTAGCCGGGCAATAGTCTTCTGTCACAAATATATTGCTTTGTTCAAACACGGCCTTGGTTTTCTTAATGATTGACATTCTCTGGGGACGTCGATAAATCTTCAAGATAATATGACGCTGTTTGGATTCAGGTCTTTTACTTGTATTTATAAAGCCCATTGCAGCTCTATGTGCATTTTCCACCATGCTTTCAGAATCCTTGAAAGCACATTTTCTTACAAGGTCATTCACCACTTTCATACAATCTTCATTTTTGTCTTCACCACACCACCAAAACGTAAGTTATAGCTTCTGGAATACCGTTGTAGTCTAAGACATTCCTGTGTGTTCACTTCTAATTTACACACAAGTTCTCTACACTTTGACTCCAGCTCGGAAATCCGATTCTCCAATGCTTTTTTTTTGCTTTTGTGGCGACATCATTATTGGAGGCATCTGTAAATTCCAAAGCTTGCTCAAATTCTTTCTGTTCTTTATCGACGGCATCAAGTCTAATTCAAGTCGTTGCTCCTCTAATTTATCAACTTTCTCTTCTAAGCGTTCGAGGCAATTCATAACAAAGGCCTGGACAAGCTGATGCTCTCTATAGCAGGCACCTCGTTGTCACTCGACTCACAAATGGAAATGTCATTATCTACACTAAAATCACGTGGGTCACTCTCATGGCTGAGAACAAAGGGAGCAATTTGCCGGGTGGCGAATTTTGATTTAGGCGTTTTGACTTTTCTTTTTGGTGGCATGTTTATAAAATCACTCAGATCGTATAACAGTATTTTCTAATAGTAGATGATCTTGAAAAAGCGTAATCAACAACTTGTATTTCCGTAAATTGTCATGGTCTGTGGGAGCTCACGAATTAGGTAGCGTTCATGCCAGCAACGATGTTGTATTCCTTTATTGAAAACCATGACAGGCTGGAATCATTAAACGCTCTACTTCCGGGTGACCTGTCTGACATCGAAGTAGTTAATTGTTATGGTTGTTTTCTGTGTCGTCCACAAGGAAGCAGAATGTTTGTTCAAGCAAAAATTCTGATATTTTTTGTTAGCTCCGCTGTCGACTTATCATATAAGTGATTGTCCGTCAATGACTGTGTCAACTCTTTTACTTATTCGACTTCTTCTTGAAAACTACAATTCTTATTGCTTTAATACTTGGTATATATGTTATATGTACCTTGGACAGACCTCTATTAAATCTTTTTATTTCGTGATCATATCTTCAATTCTCTACTTTTGATGAATATTTTTGTCATTTTAAGTAAAAAGTTATATTTTCGACTTTTGATGAAAACAGCAAGTCTGATTGCTTTGATATTGTATACATATAGTTACCTCAGGTGGACCTCTCTCATTTTTGTAATGATATCTTCAGTTCATTAATTGAAATGTGCATTGCTGACAGTCTAAAGGCTGCTTATTAAACGATTTAACGGCTGACGTGGTTTGCACTTTTCCCACGTGCAACCATTGCATAGTCGTATTGGTAAACAAATGGGCAATGTAACTATATTGTTTTGTGAAACGCGTTTTACTAAGAGAAACTGAAGGAATGTGTCCTGTAACAATTCCAATGAAGGTCAACTCTGCTGTCACTCTGGATTATTCAAATTCCAGTGTAGCTTTTCTTACGTAAAATCATTGTTTATAATCCCTAAAATAAATGAAGAAAAAATCTTGAATTCAGACGTAAAACGACAATGCTTTGCAATAGTGGACCACAGCTTCAATATTGTACTTTTAAAGAAATAGTTTGGGTAAATGGAGTGACTACTAAACAAATAGGCTAGCTGGAGCAGCCCTTATAACTATTTCCATTGAAATTCATTCATTCATTCATTTGATTCACAGTTCAGAGTGAAGCACCAACATCTTTGTAGAAATAATACTATTTTCAGTATGAAACAAACAATGTTTAAAATTGTACAAAGATTTTCAATGAAGTGCCTCTTGAGATGATGTTTGAGACATATGACAGTCACCTCAATTTATGCAAGGGCAAATTTTATTTTGAGGAATTTTGGGTGTTCGGAACATGTGAAATGTACTCGTTTTCGCTTATTTTTTATATAATAATAATAACTTTATTACACTACTATGCCATCAGAGGGCGCAGTATGGTAAATAAAATACAAATCATAAGAAAAAAATACAGTAGCTAAACTATAAGATAAAATTAACATTAAAAGATGTTAAAAGCTTAATAGGAAAAACAAATTAATGATAGTT